TGGCGCTCTACCACTTGAACCACAGCTCCACTTCCAGCATATGTGTGTGTGTGTGTGTGTGTGTGTGTGTGTGTGTGTGTGTATGTGTTTATGTATGTGTGTGTTTGGAGATAAAGAGTCTCAAAGATTTTCCTGCCTGGTTTGGTTTTGAACCATGATTCTCAGATCTCAGCTTCCTAAGTAAGTAGACATGATCTACAAGCACCCAGCAGAAAGATCTTTTGCATAAGTGAGGAAAATAAAGGTCATACAAGTTAAACTACCTTCCCTATATAAGGCAGCTGAGTGTGATTCAATACCATACCCCACTCCCCCCGCCCCCCCAGGACCTAAATGGCAGCTCACCTCTTGGTTTGAAGGATATGAACAGAATTAGCACCTTGCACTTTGATTGGTTGGATACTTGTATGAGCCAATGTAGCCACTAATTGCTTTCATTTTGAGACACAATGCCAAGAGGAGGAGGGAAGCAAAAAGACTGAGAAAAAGAAGAGAGACACAGAGACAGACACACACACATTGAGACTCAGAGAAACAGAAAAACAGGGAGACACACAACACAGTAACACAGAGAAACACACACAGAGATTCAGAGACAGACACATAACACAGAGACACACAAAGATGGAGGCAGAGAGACAGAAACAGAAACGCAACACAAAGACAGAGATACAGAGAGAGACAGAGAGGAGAGGCAAGATGAAAAAGCAGATCTTGTGTTGTCATGGTAATAGTTTAACATTGTAATAATTAAGGCTTTTTTAACTGAGTAGCTCAATTGTGACTTTGAATACACATTATTTACCCTATAATTAAGACACTGACTTACAAGAACAAAAATGTTACTATGTCGTTTTATCTGATTAGAAGAGCCTTTCTAGCTTTGATTTCTAGTACAAGAGGTTTACAGCTGCACAAATTATATTCAGAGGTCTAAAGAAGAAATGTCTCATTTTTCAAGGAAGGAAAGAAGATTAAAGTTTTATTATACTGAAGAGTATGACTGTGAAATTATAGAATATGCCTATAAGATGAGGAATTAATTTCTTTAGTGATTTTGTTCACAATACTCAAAAGTCATGTTGCACAAACAAAAATGATTTTTACAATAAGATTAGCGTATTTATTCAACCAACTATCCCAAATAATACCAGAGGAATGCTGATCATATAAACTGAATTAGACTAGACCCCTACACTGCTTCATAATAATATACACAACCTGTATTCTTTTTTTTTCTTATTTAGTCAGTCATTGGGCTCGAACTCAGGGCCTGGGCTCTATCTTTGAGCTCCTTTTGTTCAAGGCTAACATTCTACCACTTGAGCCACAGGCCACTTCCAGTTTTCTGGTGGCTAATTGGAGCCAAGGATCTTACAGGCTTTCCTGCCTGGGCTGGCTTTGAACTGCAGTCCTCAGAGCTCAGCCTCTAGAGTAGCTAGGATGACAGGCATGAGCCACCAGTACCGGGCCAATGTTCATTTTTTATTCTTGTTATTTTCTTAAGTTCCCTCTGAGCTTTCCTTGAATGGAATTTAGGCTCTAGATTTTTATATCTGGTTAAGTTCAAAGTCAAAATTCATTTCATGATACCTTTAGTGAATTCAAGTGGAATGGATCTAAGAAAACAGGTTACTTTAAGATCTATTTGATACAGACTAAAGATAGATAGATATTGATAACTAGCTAGAGAGATAGAAAGAGAGAGAGAGCGCTATACATAAACGGCTAGTGACTCACACCTGTCATCCTTGCTACTCAAGAGGCTGAGATCTGAGAATCAAGGTTCAAAGTCAGCCTAGGCAGAAAAATCCATGAGATTCTTATCTCCAATTCATTAACAAGGCAGCAAGGAGCCAGAAGTGGAGCTGTGGCTCAAGTGGTAGAGTGTCAGCCTTGAGTGAGTAAAAACAATACCAGGCCCCAAGTCCAAGCCCTTGTACTGGCACAACAACAACAAAGACTCATATCTAATACTTAATGCTAAAAACTAAAATATTTATCTTAAATCAAGCATATTTTAATGACTAATTTCCTCACCTAAGATAATGTAGTGTATGTGTTCACATAAAAATAATTATTCAGTTATAATTAAATTTAGTCATTTTTAAATATATGAAATATGTATTGTATAAAAGTATTACTTAACTACTCTTTACAAAATAAATGTCCTTTCTTATTAAATGTCATATAATAATAAACTTGAATGATTTTTTACATAATATATACTCATAATCTTAACAAATTAAACATCTTTGTTCTCTTTCAATTGTTGGTAACTAGTCAAAGCGGTGGGAAAAAAACATGTCTAAAAATATATCTCAAGCTATTTCAAACCACAGAGACTTCAGATCTTACCAGATTATATAAGTATGTTATATGTAATGTTGACAAAGGAAGAGTTATATAAAGTATATAATTCTTTTCATATTTTATATGGCTACTTGATGATGACAAATTTTTGAAATAATTTAATTAAACAGGAGAGCCGTGAGCTGGTGGCTCACGCCTATAATCCTAGCTATTCAGGAGGCTGAGATCTGAGGATCGCAGTTCAAAGCCAGCCCAGGCAGGAAAGTCCATGACACTCTTATCTCCAATGAACCACCAAACCAGAAATGGTGCTGTGGCTCCAATGGTAGAGCGCTTGCCTTGAGCTGAAGAGCTCAGAGACAGCACCTAGGCCCTGAATTCAAGCTCCAGGACAGACCACAAAGCAAAACAAAACAAACAACAAAAACCCAACAGTAGAATCATAGATATGACTACATAGTATGGTATACAGTGTGGCACAGATCCATACTCCCTATCTAATTTAAATGTAGCTCTTCCCGTGCTGAATAAGACACTTCTCTGTACCTCGTGTCTTTCTGGGATAGTAAGCTTTTCTTAGGATCACACAAGGTTCTAGACAATAAAGAAATTATACATCTGTGCTTGGAATACCCATGATGTTAGCTTTTATTAGAAAAATCTGCAAGGTGCTGTAGTCTAGCTACTCAGGAATCTGAGGTCCGAGGACCAAGATTCAAAGCCAGCCAGGTCAGAAGAGTACCCATCCATCAGGCTCTTATGGCCAGTGAACCAGCAAAAAGCCACAAATAGAGGTAAGGCTCAAGTGGTAGAGTTCCTGGCTTGAGCAGAAAAAGCTATGGATTAGATTTCAGGCCTTGAATTCAAGCCACATACTAATATGCGTGTGCGCATGTGCACGCACACATACACACACACACACACACGCACACAATGTCAGTGCTATTGTCAGAGACTATAGGAGGAAGAGCTGGTTTGAGCAGTAAATGGAGAAAATGACAAGTTTGTGCTGAGTTTGGGGTGGAATCAGGACATGGGTGGAGGAATGTGTACTGGAGTTGCAGAGATCCGGCATTAAAAGCTTGTGTAGCTGGAATGTATCTGGAGATTCAGATTCAAGACAATAATTACAGACCCCCAAACAGATGATTCATCTGACGGGCAGACTTAGGAGCACTAAGAACAAAAGATCTGCAACTCAGTTTGGGAGAAACATGTCTTCCAGCAGCGTTGATGCTAGAAATAAGGCAAGGAGGAAGTGTAAACAAAGAATTCAGAACATGTTAAGTTTAAGTATTTAAGATTATGGAAGTGCTGATTAGATATAAATGGCAATAATGACCAGGAGTAATTTACGAGGGATTTTTTTGAAGCTGGGTCATTTTGGCACCATATTCTAAACTTCTACATTCTGTTTTGTCCTAAGAGACACCTATTGCATGATATAAAAGGTAGGGGGGGGGGAGAAGGAAAAATACTCATGTAGGCTGTCAAAGCTATATAGCTCTTTGGAAGTAAATATTCATTTAATTGTCTTCACTAAATAATTAACTGTAGGAATAATTAACACATAACGTGCTCGGACTTTTGTTTTGTTTTGTTTTCAAAACTGTATCCCAGTTTGGCATTGGTGGCTCACACCTGTCATCTTAGCTACTCAGGAGGCTGAGATCTGAGGATGGAAGAAGCCAGCTCAGGCCAGTCAGAAGTCTGTGAGACTCTTAGCTCCAATTAGTCACCAAAAAACTGAAAGTGTAGCTCTGGCTCAAATGGTCAAGTACTTCACTTGAGCCAAGATGGCAAGAGCAAGAATGTGAGGCCCTGACTGTATCCCTATACCATGAAATTCAGATATCCAGATGTAAAGACTACCTGAAAGACTCTGAAGTCTGGATAGGCACAGATACATAGCAACATCTATTGTTTTTATGCAACATTGAATGTTGTTTTTTGTTGTGACTCTGAATAACCATCTTATTTAGATACCCATGGTAAAGATGGCAAAATTCCAAAAGCTTATAAAAATGTACATGTCACCGCACTAGACTAGAGCAAAAACAAACAAAAAAACAACTTGATAGCACCCAGACCTCGAGTTCAAGCTCCAGAACCAATTAAAAAAAAAAAAACATACATCTCTGCTAGGCACCAGTAGTTCACGCCTGAGGCTGAGATCTGAGGATCACAGTTCGAAGGTAGGCCCAGGCAGCAAAGTCCACGGGAGTCCTATCTCCAATCAATCACCCCAAAAGTAGAGCGGTAGCCCGAGTGGTAGAGTGGCAGCCTTGAGCCAAAAAACAAAAAGCTTAGCGACAGTTGCCTGGGCCTGAGTTCAAGTCCCAGGACTGGCATCAAAGAATATTTTTTTTAAGAAAAAGGACATCTCTGCATTTCAGTTATTTCTAGAATTTTCTAGGCGGGTGGAGGGGGGAGGGGATGAATACAGTTTCCCTAATTTTTCCAGGGAAACTCTGTGTGTGTGTGTGTGTGTGTGTGTGTGTGTGTGTGTGTCTGTCTGTCTGTCTGTCTGTCCGTCTGTCTGTGGTGCCACAGGCATCCGCCTCGCCACCTCTAGGTCCTCGCAGGGGCTGGGAGGGCGGCTGAGGCGCGGGGTGCGGTTTCTTTCCCCGCACGGCACTGATGGCTGGCGCGCGCTCGCGCGTCCGTGTCCGTGTCCGTGTGTGCAGGCACAACTCGTTCCGGAGGCACCTGCCGCGGCAGATGCAGGTGTCCAGCGTGGACTTCGGGCCGGGCGCGGAGCCCGCGGGGCCCCTGCCGCCACCGCCGCCGCCGCCGCCGCCGCCGCGCGGGGAGACCAGCACGAGCATCGGCAGGATCAAGCCCGAGCTGTACAAGCAGAGGTCGGTGGACTCGGAGGGCCAGCGCGCCAACGACGCCCCGGCGTGCGGCAAGCTGCACTTCTCCCTGCGCTACGACTACGAGAACGAGCTCCTGGTGGTGAGGATGATTCAGGCGCTGGACCTGCCCGCCAAGGACCTGACGGGCTCCTCCGACCCCTACGTGAAGATGTACCTGCTCCCCGACAGGAAGAAGAAGTTCCAGACGCGCGTGCACAGGAAGACGCTCAACCCGCTCTTCGACGAGGCCTTCCACTTCCCCGTGGCCTACGCGCAGCTGGGCGCGCGCAAGCTGCACTTCAGCGTCTACGACTTCGACAGGTTCTCCAGGCACGACATGATCGGGGAGGTGATCCTCGACAACCTCTTCGAGGTGTCCGACCTGTCCCGGGAGGCCTCGGTGTGGAAGGACATCCGCTGCGCCACCGCGGTGAGTGAGTGGGCCTGGCCGGCCCGGACGGCCTGGGGCTGGGGTAGAACGCGTGCGTTCCCAGCTCTAGCGCCCAGATCCCCGGCCACCGGCCACGCTCACGTCTGCTGTTTATTTGTCGTCATTCATTTTTGTATGTGTGCATGCTGGGCTTGGGGCTTGAACTCAGGGCCTGGGTGCTGGATCCAAGCCAGTGCCTCTACCGCTGGAGTCACAGCTTCACTTCCAGCTTTTGGCTGGTTCACTGGAGAGCACAATCTCCTGAACTTGCCTGCCTGGGCTGGTTCCCACTGCGGATCCTCTTGATCTGAGCCTCACGCAAGTGGCAAGGATTACAGACGCAGGCCACTGGTAAAGGTAAGATGGGATTGCATAATGATTTGGGGGGCTGACCCCCCCACGATGGGTGATATTCGCCGTCGCGTCCGTGACAAGGCGGATCTTACCAATAATACCGTTTTCTTTTATAAGGTATTTATATGTACGCTCTTCTCAGCAACCCAATTTCCCTACAGTTAATATCGGTCTTCAGGAGTTAAGGTAATTTAGTTGCACAGATCAGACCTAAAATGTGCTTTGATATCATTCGGTTTGATCTAAAGCAGCCTCTTCCTTCAGAAGGTGTTTGTGAGGCATGCGTAATTAACAGTGAACCAAAGGCTGAGCAATCCATCCATCAGGGCTCGTTCACATTAGAACTATTTCATTAGGAAATGTGCTTCCTGATTGTAACATAGTATCAACAAAAGGAGTGAAAATTAGGAAAATAGTACAAAGCATACAGGATCAGATTTAAATATCCAACAGTGCTACAGACTGTATAAAACATTTTGTTATGTTGCTGTCCAATTTCTTTGTTATGCATGCATTACAATAATGAAAATCATAATAGGTTTAACATTTTCACACTTCCTTTTTTGCTGTATTTGCTTTAATGCATGATAGTTAAATTTGTGACCAATTTACTTAACCATTTTCTTATAGCTAGATGTTTAAGCTATTTTAGTTATCAAAATTGTGTTTTATTTTTTCAAATTTGTCTCTTATTTAAGATTGTCTAGCAGAGAATTATAGAAGTAGAGTTAGAAAATTGGTCTCTTACATTAGATTTCTAAAGTGTATTGATTTATTAATTTTAAAATAGGAACATTTAGCTTTATACTATTTGATATCTTCATATATTTTTTGTTTTTTAAAAAAAGTATTGTTAAAATGTATAGGCTCAGCCATTACATTTATAATCCCAGCTACTCAGGAAATTGAGATCTGAAGGTAGCAGTTTAAAGCCGGCCTAAACAGATAAATTCAAGAGACTTATCACTAATAAACCAGCAAAAGCTGTAAGTGGATGTGTGGCTCAAGTTGTAGAGTTTCAACTTTGAGTGAAAAAAAACAAGTGAGAGGGAGAAATCCTGAGTTTAAGATCCAGTCCTGGCATACACACACACACAAACACACATACACACAATTACAAGCTCAAAATACTGAAGTTGAAAACACATAAAGGATTATTTTAAAAGAAGATAAAGCAAATTTTGAGCTTCAAAATCCTAAAATTTCTTCTTAATATTTTACTAGTTGTAGTCAGTATTATGAATTGTGTATATAAAATAACAAAGATCTATACTGCAAATTTAGTACTACATTGTATCTGCAGACAATTTCTATTGTTCGCACGTGTGTGTGTGTGTGTGTGTGTGTGTGTGTGTGTGTGCACGCATGTGCAAGCATCAGTACTGGAGACTAGGGCTTGAATTTGAGGCCCTTTGCTTGCCCTTTGCTTTTCCACTCAAGGATGGCTCTCTACCACATGAGCCACACCTCTACTTCTGGCTTTTTAGTGGTTAATTAGAGATAAGGTCTCACAGACTTTTCTGACTTTGGACCTCCATCCTCAGATGTCAGCTTCTTGAATAGCTAAGAGATGGCTAATGCAAGCTACGATTGAGTTTTTATTTCATGTCTCTACTATGGTTTTATTTTACTTTTACTTTTAAGTTCCCAGTCTACAAAACATTATATGAATACAAAGTATCTGATAACATTGTCACCCATCGCTCCTAACCCACCCCTCTCTCACTTTTCTTTTCTTCTTCTTTTTTTTAAATTGAGATTAGGTGATTACATAAATTTCACATATTTCACAGTATTGTGGAATAGTGATACTTAAAGTCACAAACACATTTTAACCTTCACAAGGCAAATTGTCATTATCACGGTCTATGACTTCTATGATCTTTGACAATACAATTATTTCTTCCACATCAGGTGGTGATTACATTTCTTTCCTTTTGCTTAGTGTAGGCTGTTCCTTCCTTCCCTCTCATTCCTCCCTTCCCATCACAGTCTTTGGGTTGCTTAGTTCATTTTCATCTATGTCCAGTGCAGCTGATGGGCCTCTCTGTTTTATGTTTTCCCATTTCCCACTGATTCTGTGTCCTCCTCCTAGCTTCCATTTCCCACTGATTCTGTGTCCTCCTCCTAGCTTCCCTCCATTGCTGGCATATATATATATATATATATATATATACACACACACACACACACACACACACCATATATGTGGTCAATAACATGGAGTCATTTAGCAAAGATATGACAAAATGAGTGGCAGTCCTTTGTTTCTCAAGTCCTGCTTACTTTGTCATCTGTCCTTGCATTTTGGCTTTAGCATCAACATATCAGGGAGACCATGTGCCATTTGTCTCTTTGCTCTTGGCTTACCTCACTCAAAATGATTTGCTCTAGTTCAATCCATTTCCCTGCAAATGCCATTGTTTTGTCCTTTCTAATGGCTGCATAATATTCCATTACATATAGTACCACAATTTTTGGATCCACTCGTCATCTACTAGGATTTTAATAGGGAACAAAATAGGAAATTTGAAACTGGATCATGTTTCAAAGGAACATTGGAGTTCTTTTGCTTTTGGGCTCGTTTTTGTTTCCTTTGTTGCTTTATTTCTATAAGGAAAATATGAGAGATAATGATTTATTATGTTAAAAAAATACAGGAGCTCTGAGGATCTTGGTTCAAACCCAGCCAGAGAAAAAAGGTCTGAAATGCTTATCTCCAATTAACCAGAAAAAAGCTGAAATGGAGCTATGGCTCAAGTGGTAGAGTGCTAACCTTGAGCACAAAAGCTCAGAGACAGCTCCCAGGACTGAGTTCAAGCCCCAGGACTGAGTTCAAGCCCCAAGACCAGCACTTACACACAAAAATACAACACTTCTATTATTCTCTAAATTTACACTGAAATTAGTTGTGAGGTTATTTCCTTGGACGCTTTATTTGTATATTACTTCTTTTATTTGTTAACAAGCATTCACCAAGTGTCCACCAGTTGTTGGCATGCTCTAAGTATTAGAGCTAAAAACACATTTCTATATAAACATTTTGAAGCATGTTTTATTGGTACCTTCAAGTTCAGAGATAAGTAATCTACAAGTGAGGTCTAAAAATAATTTTAATTTTTAACATTGGAGGTTTAGTGACATTACTCTTTGGCATGTTGTTTGTTTTAGAATTTTGGTACCTCCTGGAACTTGCACTTAGCAACTCACTCCTTGGCTTAGCTTTTTGCTCAAAGTTAAAACTCCACTCTTGGCTTTTTGCTGGTTGATTAGAGATAGAATTTCCATTTTGTCTGCTTGGAGTATATGGAACCTTGATGCTCAGATCTCAGCCTCTTGAGTAACTAGGGTTACAGGCATGAGCCACTGAAACCTAGCTAAAATTCCATACCAATTTCGTGTGTGTATATGTGTGTGTGTGTGTGTGTGTGTGTGTGTGTGTGTGTTGTATCACAGAGTTTGAACTCTAGATTCCATGCTCTTCTTTAGCTTTTCATTCAAGGCTGATGTTCTAGTACTGGAGCCACACCTCCAATTCTGGTTTTTGTTAAAATCACATTTTTTTTGTTTTGTTTTGTTGGTCTGGTCGTGGGGCCTGAACTCTGGGCCTGGGCACTGTCCCTCAGCTCTTCAGCTCAAGGCTAGCGCTCTACCACTTGAGCCACAGCACCACTTCTG